TTTTTGCTGCCTGCATCCCCAAGGATAGGTGGAATGAACAAGTCCTCGGGGACTTTACACGCCCGAGGAGTGTCGAACGAGCCCCAAAGCAAACACAGTAGCTGAAAACTGGTTGCCCATACTGGGCTTGAGTCAGGTCTTAAGTACCGGACTCAAGTTCAGTCCCGAGGGCAGAAGTGCAATTCGCCTCACGGCTGAACTGAAAATAGAAGGTCTGAGTCTGGGTGCCAGAATGCCGAAGGGTGCCAGGTGTCGAAATCCGAAAGTGCCAAAGGAGGAGTTCGAAAACGGGCGCGAACTGCAGAGGGTGCCAACAGTCAGAAACTGGAGAGCAGAAACCCAAAAATAAAATAGCAGCCTGGCAGGTGGTAACCCGGGGACCAGGGATCGAGCCCTGGCTGAGTCCGTAACAGTGAGACTTATTTGAACAAGGACAGGGGCAACCTCAAAAGATGCACCCAATTGTCCCACGAAATTCAAAAACGGACCCCATTTTGAAACGATTTTCACCTTTGCAGAGGCAGATGCAGATGCCAGGATTACCTTACCCATGTATAGTACCGAGTTGACCCCTGAGTGTTTGAACCCGTGACCTGTGTATTCGCAAACAGTTGGTAGGCTGTTTTAGGTCCGTAGGTTGTAGGGGATTCGATCTGTAGACTTGTCGGATAGGAGTCTTAGGGAGTTCTAGAAGTCGTAACTGTAGACTTCCCGAAGGGTCAAGGTCGTAGCTGCTACAGTCCAGAAAGGTCAAGGTTGTAGCTGCTGCAGTATTGAAAGGCCAAGTCTACAGCCTTCCAGGAGGTCTGAGTAGTGGCCTTTCGAAGTTCCCCAGGTTTAGGCTGAGGCAAGTGGGCAAGTGGTGAGGCAAGTGGTGTAGTCTACCCGTGTTGAGTCAGCACTCCCAGTCCTAGGCAGTCCTGGTCCAGTCAAGCAAGTACCGCATGGGACTGTGTGCACTACGGGCATGGGAAAGGGCTAGACCAACGAGTTGCAGAAGTATAAATCAAGAGGCAGCGCCCAGTYATTCATTCATTCCTGCGGAAGCCATGCGGAAGCGCTGCCACAGTGACTTGTGCGAGGTGGTCTGCAGAGGCGCCTGAAGTCGAAGTGGGCTGAAGGGAGTTAGTGCAGCCATAGCTGCTGTAGTTAGTGTAGTTGGCGGCCATAGCTGCTGCTGTTAGTATAGGTGTGTATGCGTGAGTGTTATAGGGTGTGTGCGTGGGGTATCCAGGGTGATCCTAGTTGAGTGTGCGTGTACAGCAGAGTGAGGCGCAGTGACGAACAGAGTGTTGTGCAGGCGCTGTTGCGCCATAGCCATTTGAATCGAGGGTGAATCTGAACTGTGTCCGTGGCTACCATATCTCTGAGCTTGGAGAGGGTGCATGTCGCCAGTTTGCTGTATGGCCTGTTTACATGCATGCGAAGCGTGAATGATTGTGAGTCTGAATGCAATTTCCTGTACTTCGGGGCTTACTTCGGGTTTTAGTCCGAAGGGTACATGAAACCGCTACGGAGCTTGGCTTATCACAAGGAGCATAGCCAACGACGAATTGAGTATGAACAATGCGAAGGCTCTCCTAGTCTCCCAGTCCAACCGGAATCGCATAATAAGCCAATAATCACAACCGAGTATGAGCGCCCTTGAACAAACTTGAAAATACATTCGAGCAAGCCCTCAGAGTCTCCCTCAACATCACAGTGCAATGAACCCAGACCATGAATGCGAATATCAGCACTGCAAGTCCAAATGTCAAGTCGCTGATAGTAGTTTCCAATAATCAATAGTGTCCAGAAGAAGAAATGTGAGATGACATACACAGACGAAGAGGGAGGAGGGAGATGAGACAAAGGAGAGGATGAGTAGGCCCACTCCTTCTCCGGGCTCCTCCACCTCACACAACCAGTAATCCGAACACCAAGTTGAAGTCCTCTCAAAGAGTGCCACGTGGCACCTAACCAGTTCTGAATCAGCGATGGAGCAATGTCAATATGAAGACCTCAGGTACGTACTGACAACCTCCACACAGTCCCGATCTCCTCCTGAAGTACCGATGAAACAGACTTTATCACTTCCTGAATTGAAGATGGAGCAGAATAGCAATGCCAGTCACACTCACACGTGGCAACGCCACGTCAGCAACAACACGTCATGAAGACAGTAGCCAGCCAGTCAGCGCACTGGCCAGCATCGCAATATCCCTATCTTGCCAATGCCAGCAAAATGCCACGTCCACCAACGTCGCAGCCAGCGTTGTGTTGCCAATGCGTAGAAGCAGCGTCAGCGCAGGACATAATGAATGTCAAAGCCAGGGAGTCCTTGCTTATGTAGTGTTGACTTCCGGTCTGGATCGATCTGAAACTGTATCCTCTTCGGCCTGGATGCATGTCCCGGTACCTGCGCACAACAAGTGGATGTATCCAACCAAGGGCCTGGCATGGTACCTTTGACTTTGACAGTTGTCTTTGACTTTTGAATTTCCTGATCCTAGCACTTGGTCCCACGGCCACGTGCAGTTTTCTGAGTTTTGGGCATGTGTTGGTCACACAGCCCAGCGCAGACCAGCTCGGGTCTGCGTGGCCTGGGGCTGAGTTCTGAGCCCCGGGTTACTTTCTGGAGAGGGTTACTACATTCCTGCCGTCCCATTTTCGAGTTCCATCGCAGAAATAATTAAGACTTTAACCCTCGTTCATAAGCAGCAACGATGTCAGGAGCAGTCTCAAGAAGTACCTTGTTGCTAAACCATCGGTCCTTTGATGGTTGTTGAGATTTAAAGCGTACCTTAAACTGCTTTTGAGGACGTCCACGTGCTCCCGTAGAAAAGAACCCATGTTCTATGATTTTCTTGACTTCATAGCTTCCGTTCATTGATGGTGGAATCATAGAGGGTCTGTTAGGAAAGTCATTTCCTTCTACATAAGGCAACAGTTTGGACGCGTCAAAGACAAAATAACTCTTGAGATGAGGGGGAATATCAATGCGATAAAACGGTTCTTCAGCATCCCCAATGACTTTGAGAACTTCCCAGGGTCCAAAATAGACAGGCAGAAGTTTCTGAGACACATCTTCTTCTAGCGAGAACTTTTTAGACTTGACCCAAACAAAATCACCTACCTTGAATGTTGAGGGTCGACGATGCTTATTAACTTTCTCTATCATTTGTTCTTGAGTTTTCTTTAGGTTCTCTTATACTTTCTTAATGTCTTCCTGAAACAATACTGCATATTCACGAGTCCCTGGTGGTAACCTGAGAAATTGGTCCCGTGTTAACACATCAATGGGACGTCGAGGTTTCCACCCCTTGTGCAGTGCATTAGGTGTACGTCCAGTTGCAGTATGAACACTGCTATTATATGCACTGGCTATTTTAGGTAAGTTCTCATCCCAATCAATCTGATCGGGTCTTACATACATACGCAAGAGCTGTTGGCACAAACGGTTCATTTGCTCACTTTGCCCATTCGTTTCAGGCCGTCGCCCTGACGACATGGTCAAACGAGTACCGTATCCCTCCATTAGCTTTTGCCATGGCATACTTGTGAATCTCGTATCTCTATCAGACACAATAGATAGGGGAAACCCGTATTCAGTAACCCATCGCATCTGAAATTTCTGAATCACAAGTTCAGTTCGTGCTTCAGCAGGTAAAGGAATAAACATAGCATACTTAGAGAAACGGTCAACAATAACCATCACTTGACTATTGCCATTGCGGCTCTTTGTGAGACTCATAAAGTCCATTGAGATAGACTCACCTGGTTCACTCGAAATCGGCAATGGTCTCAGTAGACCAAGAGGGTTCTCGTGTGAAGGTTTGTTTCTCTAGCACACCAGACAGGTACGAACATAAGTTAGTACATCTTCCTTCAGTCCTTTCCACTCGAAGCGTTCTCTGACCTCAGCGTAAGTTTTCTTGAACCCAAAATGCCCCTCAAAGTCGTAACATTCTCCAATCACTAAACTTTTAATCTTTTCTTTGTGAGGGATACAGAGTCTCTGCTCAGTTTGGTCAATCAAGAAAAGCAAACCATCAGTTAGTTTGTAGTTGGGAAGTAGAGATGGGTCTTTTACAATAGTGTCAAGGATAGGCTTCTAGATAGGATCACTAGCATATCCTTGGCGGATCTTATCTTTCAAATCACTCCCAACTTCGAAATAAGAGACAATAGCACCAAAGAAGTCACTTCTCCTGGATAATGCGTCTGCAACCACATTAGATTTTCCTTTGATGGTTTTTAGTTCAAAGTCAAAGGTATCAATGAGAGCAGACCATCTTACCAGCTTGTCGGAGAGCTTCGGTTGTGTCTTTATCCACTGTAAAGTAGAGTGGTCTGAGTACACAGTGAAATGCCTCCCTAACAAGTAATGCCTCCAGGTCTTTAGTGCACAGACTAAGGCATACAATTCCCTTTCATATGTGGAGTTGGCAACTTTTTCAGTAGGCAATCGGGCAGACATAAATTCAACTGGTCTGTAACCTTTGCCATCGTCCTGTTGAAGGACAACGTCAATTCCGTACCGATTTGCGTCAGTTGTAACAATAAAGGGAAGAAATGGGTCAACAATTTTCATAACAGGATAGTGGGTCGAAGCATACTTCAATTTCTTAAATGCAGACTCACAACCCTTATCCCACAACCATATAGTTCCTTTCTTTAGCAATTTCCTCATTGGTGCGGCAACCAGTGAGAAGTTCCTAACAAACTTCCTATAGTAACTTGCCAAACCAAAGAAAGAGCGTAATTCGGTAATAGACTTAGGTTGTGGCCAATCTCTAATTGCTGATATTTTCTTTTCCTCAGGCCTTAGACCATCTTTGTTCACTATATGCCCTAGGTATAGGACTTCAGACTTAGCGAACTCAGATTTCTTCGGGTTCAATTTGAAATTACCTTCACGCAACTTCCCCAATACAAGACGTAGGTGTTTCTCGTGATCTGCTAGTGTTTTGATATACACTAGAATATCATCAAGATACACAATGCCGAACTGATCCAACCATTGACGGAAAAGTTTATTCATGGACCTTTGGAAGGTCGCTGGGGCGTTCGTCGGTCCGAAGGGCATCACCACGAACTCGTAGTGACCATACCTTGTTCGGAAAGCTGTCTTGTGTTGATCTGTGGGATCCACTTCGATCTGATGGTATCCAGACTTCAGATCAATCTTGCTAAAATACTTACAGCCCTGCAACTGGTCCAACAAGTCGTCAATATGCGGTAGGGGTTCGACATTCTTGACAGTGACGGAGTTCAACCCTCTATAGTCAATGCAGAGACGTAACTCACCTTCCTTTTTAGGCACAAACAAAACAAGAGCGCCATAAGGAGAAGAGCTTAGGGCGAATCCATCCTTTCTCAGTTAAGTCCTGGAGTTGTTTCCTCAGTTCCTCAAGTTCCCTAGGAGATATTCTATAGATAGGGCCCTTGGGAGTCCTACTACCAGGAATTATCTCGATCGTGTGCTTTATAGCACGCTCAGTCGTTCCTGTTGGTTCGATTAACAAATCTTTATACTCGTCCAAAAGTTTTTCAATCGAGGATGGATAGGAAGTAGAGGACTCACCAACCTGCTTTACTAGGACCATCATTACTTCTTGTTCCTGTTTCTTCTTTGAAACCATCGAACGAAAGGTTGGGTAACTCATGCAACAAAAAGACAAACTTGAGTCAGAGTCAGACTTATGATACAACTTGATGGCTTTCAATTCTGAATGTGCGTCTCGCAATTGCACAATCTTATCTTTGAACTTGATATCTGGGTTGGCTTCCCCGTGCCAATCCATACCCAGAATCATGTCAAATGGTAAGTTATTCTCAACAAGTAAAGAAATTTCATGCATAATCTTCTTTCCGTCCCTCGTACGGAAGCGACACTTCACACGATCAACATATTGTGAGACAGTAATCGTGCTTTTGTCTGTCAGAATAGACGTGATAGGTTGAGACAAGTTCTTTATCTTCATTCTGAGATGCAATTTGCGGATTGCTTTCTCGGATATGTAGGATCTCGTAGATCCTGAGTCTAGTAGTGCATCCGCGCGTGCATGTGCGATTTCTATATCCGCGAGTAATAATTCACCCTTAGACTTTGCTTTCTGAGCCCACGAGCTTCGTAGTGCTAGCAACTCGTTACCAAGCTCGTCAAGAGAGTCATCCAGAGAGAAAGTGTACAAGACAGGTTCAGGGTGTTCTGGATGACGGGCCGAAGAAGAACCATCATCTGCCATGTGAGGCAAAAGGTTGGAAGGGATCGTAGGCGCCTTACCTTGTTCTTGATCCAAACCTTTGGACTCAGTAAGAGTAGATGCGACTCCTACTGGTTGCTCGCTTTTGGATAACGAATTTGTGGACACCAAGCTATTACATGCCCTGCAAGTCCACACTTCAAACACTGTGCATTATTCATTCTTTCGTGCCACAATGCCTGAGTGATTCTCATCTTCTCCCATGGCTTCCCAGCCGCAATTCTGGGATGCTCAGGGAACGAGCGTGGTTTATTCTTCTTCATTCCATTTACGTGTGGCCCTCCCTTGTTGACCACAACAACAGTGACTTCCCCCTTCCCAGACTCACTGCTGCATGCCGCTCCCTCAGCTTCTAGCGGCAATTTTTCCACGGTTTCGTCGTCAAAAAGGACAAGCATATGGTCTTGGCGCTTCTGCCGCCAAAGAACCCGCTTACCTAAGTTCGCTCCTCCTCCTCCTCCACCATACTTCACTACAGAAGCATACGAGTTCTTGACTTGTGACGTCATTTGCTCTCGTTGGAGAGCCAGATCGCGAAACTGCCTATAATTATATTTGCCGGATTTCGAATCTGCCGCAAGCTGTCCGCGAATAGGCTCGGGCAGAGCACGGGAATAGATATAGAGTACTTGGTTGTCCTGCAGGTTCAACCTAGGAACTTGCAGCAACCGATTTACTTCTCGTGACAAAGACTCCACAGAGGTCCAATGACGTTGACCTATACTGGTGAGCTGGTCAAAGGCCTTGTCGGCCGTCGTCTTGTCCAAGAAGCGTTCCTTGATTTTAGCAAGGAACTGTTTTAAGTTCATTGTTCCAGACCAGTCCCCAATGTCCTCGAACCCTGCGGTGTTAACCTCCGCCAGCACCCATTCTTTTGCTTCTCCACCCAAACACGAAGTGGAAAACGCAACCTGAGACTCAGGCTCTACAGGCGTCGTCTTGCAATAGGTCTGTATTTCGACAATCCATAGCAACAAATTTTCATCCTTTTTGTTGCAAAACGTAAAAGGCATTTTCATTTTCACCTTCTCCCTCTTCTTCGGTTTTTCGGGCTCCGGGGTTTTCTTTCCCTTTGGAGAACTCGGAGGTGGAGAGTTAGGAGTAGTAGGATGAGGAGTAGGAGGAGTAGATGACGGACTCGACACCCCCCCATTAGATGGCTTCCCCTCTTCAGTCGTTTCTTTTGGAACAGCAGACTTTATAGCATCACCCATCAACTTCTTTTCTTTCTTCTCTTCTTTGTCTTCTTTTATCTTTGTCTCTTCTTCCGTTACCGAAGTCTTCCCTTTCACAATATTGGTAAGGGTTCTCAATCCAACAGCAATCTCGTCTAGCTGATTTTGCTGCCGTTCAATCTTCTCTTCAAGAAATGAAAGGTAAGTCATGATGTGATAGAAAGTCTGCTGCGTATCTCCTTCTTCTTTGACATCTGTTCCAATTACCTGACAAATCTCTTTAACTTTCTGTTCCCGTCTCTTCTCGTATTTTTTTATCCTTGCTAATTCTTCTTTCTTTCTTTCTTCAGCAGCCAAAGTATCACGCAACTGCTGAATGTTAGCATCAATAGTGGCTTCCGTTACTTCAGGTCTTACTTCACCCTTCCTAGTCATTTCCATCACGGACTCTTAACTGTTTGATTGCATACTGATCCAGTGCCTGACGGCACTGGCCTATCATATTCGTGACCTCTGTTCCGGCAGCTACAACCTCCGCGCCCGCAACTGCTTGATTCAGATGGTTCTCTACCGTCTGCAAATCAGACAGGTTACGGACGTGTTGTTCAGCATCAGGTCCAGACAAACGCAAATCATTTAACAGCTGATTCCATACAGCTAACAATTCCTGCTTCCTTTGTTCCGCCTGTCGTCGAGTCTTTGGGTCCGAAGTCCCCTCACCCGAGAACAGAGCCATTGGAAAGAGAAACAGAAGGACCTTCAATAGTCCAAACATTCTGGAAGTCACTTTGGAGAACAGATCCACAATGGGAATTCACAGAAATAAAAGAAATTAAAGAAACAGATTCAATTTCCTAATTGCTGTTCTTTTTTCCTAATCTGTGTGATGACGTCTTGTCTACAGGTACTTTGCCAGGTCCGTGTGGTCAGATTCAACACACAAGTGAGTACGCAACACCACAGGCAGCAACAACAGGTAAGTATGCAAACAGAAACAAAAACAGTTTGTCAGCATACTCCAATCATCAGGTAAGTAAGCCAGTGAAAAAAAACAGCTCATCAACCCACTTTCTCTTTGCTGTGTCTTGAGTGTCAGTGCGATCATGCACTCTACCGGACAGCTGGCACTACAGCTGTATCATCACATCAATCAGCCATACCGCCGAAGTCCTCAGAGTGCCCCTTCCTCACTTAGCAGCAATCCTGCCTGCCACGTGTCACCCCTTAGTGGGTGACACGTCAGCAAGTGTGTAACCCGATCCTTGTCACGTTCGTCCTGTCACGTTGAGATACCTCACTGTTCCTGCCAGTCTTCTTCAGCCCCAAGAACGGATGCCCAGTCAGCAGATAGATATCCCCTTACAAGACAAGTGGGAAGTCTGTCTCTCTGCCACATCAGCAACCGAAGACTGTTTCCTGCAAGGCCGTGTCAGAATCTGCAATGGACCCTGTCATGTATGACAGCACGAATCATGCCCTGCCAACAATCACAACAAGGTCCTGGGACGTGGCACAACATATGCCACGTCAACATCAAGATCCAGGCTGAACAGAAATATCTCTCGCCACGATCCCTACCGCCACGTCAGCATTTGGTAGGGTCTTCTCGTTGTCTCGTCAGTTCCACATCAGCATCCCCTGAGTGGTCTTCTTGTTGATCCGTGACGTGTCAGATGTCCTTGGAGAGGTCAACTCGTCAGTCCGTACCACGTCAGATATCCCCAGCGAGGACAGCTCATCAATCTCTGCCACGTCAGATATCCCTGACAACCACGTCATCACCTATTATCTACGTGTGTGCTCCACACTTACCTGTGCGCCACCTGGCGCCTATACACCGTGTTCAGGAGAATAGCTCCGATACCAAATTGCAATGGACCCAGACCATGAATACGAATATCAACACTGCAAGTCCAAATGTCAAGTCGCTGATAGTAGTCTCCAATAATCAATAGTGTCCAGAAGAAGAAATGTGAGATGACATACACAGACGAAGAGGGAGGAGGGAGATGAGACAAAGGAGAGGATGATTAGGCCCACTCCTTCTCCGGGCTCCTCCACCTCACACAACCAGTAATCCGAACACCAAGTTGAAGTCCTCTCAAAGAGTGACACGTGGCACCTAACCAGTTCTGAATCAGCGATGGAGCAATGTCAATATGAAGACCTCAGGTACGTACTCACAACCTCCACACAGTCCCGATCTCCTCCTGAAGTACCGATGAAACAGACTTGATCACTTCCTGAATTGAAGATGGCGCAGAACAGCAATGCCAGTCACCAAAGACCCGGCAACCTCACACGTGGCAACGCCACGTCAGCAACAATATGTGGCAGTTGCCTTGTCAGCAAATCATGAAGACAGTAGCCAGCCAGTCAGCGCACTGGCCAGCATCGCAATATCCCTATCTCGCCAATGCCAGCAAAATGCCAGCGTCCACCAGTGTCGCAGCCAGCATTGCGTTGCCAATGCGTAGAAGCAGCGTCAACGCAGGACAGAATGAATGTCAAAGCCAGGGAGTCCTTGCTTATGTAGTGTTGACTCGGGGTCTGGACCCCGGCTCCTGTAAACTCTTGCCGTCCAGATCTTGACACCGAGGAAGGTCTGGATCGATCTGAAACTGTATCCTCTTCGGCCTGGATGCATGTCCCGGTACCTGCGCACAACAAGTGGATGTATCCAACCAAGGGCCTGGCATGGTACCTTTGACTTTGACAGTTGTCTTTGACTTTTGAATTTCCTGATCCTAGCACTTGGTCCCACGGCCACGTGCAGTTTTCTGAGTTCTGGGCATGTGTTGGTCACACAGCCCAGCGCAGACCAGCTCGGGTCTGCGTGGCCTGGGGCTGAGTTCTGAGCCCCGGGCTACTTTCTGAACAGGGTTACTACAACAGCATCATCCCAATTACCTCCGCCTGTTCCTGGCTATGACGCTCAGCCTAAGCCCCCTGTGCCCAGCCTCAATAGCCTGCACACCTCCAGAGTTACCTCAGAATGCACCCAGAAGTACCAGCGTTAGCACTAGGATGAAGAATGAACCTCTTACTCGAAGAAGAAGAACTGCTACCAGATATGGCAGCACCTAACCTCAACAACACAGATACGGTTGCTGTCAGCCTTCAGGATGATGCACCAGCTTTATCTGCTTCTGCAGAAGGCTAGCAGCGGTCCCCAGCTAACACTGCTCCAGCAACCTGGTGACATCAACTATAAACCATACTTGCATCCGCCAGTGCGGCACGGCAGTTGCCCGTGCGCCGCACCAGCAGCAGTTTTTTTCAGGTGGGCAAGTGCGTTTATGTCACAACAGAGTTTCAAATGGGCAAAAAATACACATGCAGGCAAAAAGAACAGCCGCCAAACTCAAAATGGCAACAAAAGTACCGCGGTCGTGGTGTCAGTCAGGGAAGGGGGAAAAAAAAGAGGCCCAACAGATGGTTTTGGACTGCCAGTCCCCTTTTTGACTTCAGCAGTTGCTATTTTTGCTTGCACGTGTTTTTTTTGCCTCGAGGGTTTGGCACTTGTTTCTTTATTTTTTTCGCTGTTCTGGTAGATGCAGAGGAGTGCACCACCTGAGCAGCAGATGCTGTTCAAGTACAGTCGTAAAGATTTTACGAACGCTTGCAAGAGGAATTCCCGAAAATAAAAACGAATTTCAGAAAAAAAATTCGGAATTTTTGAAATTGAGAAACGAATTTTCAAAAAAATTTCGAAATTAAAAAATAAATTTCAGAAAAAAATTCAGAATTGAAAAAAAAACTAGGAAGATTCTCACGCCCGGCCGGTCCTGCCCGTGCCCGGAGCTGAAGTGGGCAGTGAGGAAGACTACGGCCATATCTGGCCAGGAGGAAGACGACGGCGACCATAGCCGCCCAGCTGTTGTCACAGACAGAGTGTACAAAGTGTGTGTGTCTGAGTAGCGTGGACATTCAGGGTAGATCCTCGTACATGCGTGCATGAGGGAGAGTGAAGCTGGTGGTGGAGACTGCGTTCGGCGGCCATAGCTGCAAGTTGTACAGTTGACTTGAACTGAGTTTTAAGTGCAAGTTCGTTATTGATTCTGAGCCGAAAGAGTTTGGTTTTGCCATCAGTTCGCGTGTATGCATGTTGAAAGCAAGTTTGGAGTGCAGTCTGATTTCACTGGTATCGGAGCTGGTACCCGTTGTCCACGTTGGAGCTGCAGCAAGCGAGGAAGAAGAAAGCCACCATAGCCGAGGAGCGGCAGAGAGAGAGAGACAGAGAGAGAGAGACAGAGAGAGAGGGAGCGAGAAGGAAGCCATAGCGGACGGCAGCCATAGCTGCCAAGCTTGGAGAAGAAAACGACCAACAAGAGAAGAGGAAGAAGTGACACAGAGAGAAAGAAGAAGGTAGTTGATGAAGAGGGAGGTGAAGCAGCCATAGCCAATGTGTAGGAAGAAGAAGAGGGCGACAAAGGAGAAGGTTGACCACCATAGCCAGGAAGTCGGAGGGTTGACCCGGGGGGTTGACGAGCGTTGACCAGAGGTTGACCAAGACCGTTGACCAAGATTGACCGGAGCGTTGACCAAGACCTTTGATTGGAGCACTGACCAGGAGCGTTGACTAGGAGCGCTGACCAGGAGCATTGACCAGGAGCGTTGACCAGGAGCATTGACCAGAACGTTGACCGAGCTGGACCAAGAAGACGAGCGGTATTATCTCTCCAAGCCCTGGCCTAGCCCTTACCCTGTGGATGTGCACCCTCACCTTAGTACTTGCTGACGTCAGGTCTGTCAGAGTCAGTCATATCTCCCTATCACTTTTGTCCAGGTCGATAGGACTCTGTGGATGTGGTCGTAGAGCTGCGAGCCCAAACCCACACGAGACTTAGTAAGGCTAAAGGCTGCGTCTGACAACTGACACGTCCCGAGGACAAGACCCCCAAGGACCGGTACGGACCGACGGGCTGCTCACTGTCTAAGTCTTGAGAGGACTCAACTGA